ACACACACACACACACACACTCACACGCACACACACACACACACACACACACACTCACACACCCACACACACACACACACACATATCACTGACATCAACAACATTTGATACAAAGGTTTTTCTCCGTACCTCCCATGGACCAGCACACCGACAGAAGAGCACAGATGGAGAGCAGAGCCAGAGTCTTCATGGTGTCTTGTAGATTTGGTTCTCTCTGTAGTCAAGCTATTATTTTATCGGTTGCTTTTCTTCCGATGTCTTGTTCTGTTTCTGTCCCCAAAGTCAAGGTCAATATATACTGTAGTCCGGCTGTATTGTCAGACCAGACCCACACATTGAACCCAACTCTCTGATTGGCTGGAGAATCGAATATCAACGTTTCCGCTTCCACTTGTCATGAAAGCTCCCACAAACACCCACGCAACCTCTGGCAATGAGTCGAAAAACTCATGCAGCGTACACAGCCACAAGCATTCCTTTCATTTGCCTGTTTGCAAACTACATGGCAGGGATTTGTACCTCTTCAGTGCTGCATGAGAGTATTCCTATCCGCTGGAATTTTTCATATTTTTCTATGGTGCAGCCATAAACTTAAATTTAAGGGTAAATAACTCAGGTTCAGGACAATTTAATTGGGGCAGTCTGTGACCATAATTTTTTCAGCCTTGCCACAAGTCCTTAAGAGGATCTAATTTTGAACTTTGACTTGGCCATTGTAACAAACGGATATGTAAATATGAATAAATCTGAGGCATTCCTTTGTCCCTCTGGATGCATGTTTAGGGTTGTTTTGCTGCTGGAAAGTGAACCTCAAACCCCGGTCTCAAAACATTTGCAGCATCCGACAGGATTTTATCCTGTTTTTGTCCCGTTCCCTTTTCACCATCAACTCTGACCAAATTCCCAGGTTTTCCATCAAATGTACAGTTTTGTATGTGGCCTGATAAGTTCATTTTTGGTCTAACCTGGTCGCCTTCTTCCACGTGCTTCCAGAATTCTTGCGCATGACAAACTGCACGCAGACATTTTTATGAGTTTGTTTCAACAGTAACTTTCTTCGTACCACTGTCAGTTACCATGAATATCCTTGTTCAATTGATATTCTCCTTGCCTGGATTGCCGGTGGAGCTGGATAGCTATGTCTTGGAAGGTTTGCAGATTGCCATGCTCTTTTTCCACTTAGATTTTGTATCACGGATCGAGATGTTTAAAGCTTGGAATAATGTTTCCTTACTTAATCCTGCTTTACAACCTTCTTCCAAACCTGTTTGCCAGTTGTTGTGTTTCTTGTTCTTCATGATGCTGTTTGTTCAACAGTGTTTCCTAACAAACCCCTGAGAAAAGCTACATTAATGCAGAGATAACAGAGAAAAATACAAAATATACACCCATTTTTTTCTTTTTCCACATTTGTACTTGAGAAATGTTGCAAAGTTGTGAATCGTTTTCCTTCCACTTCAAATTTATAAACTGCGTGGCTGGTCTGTCACATAAAATCCAATAAAAATAAAAAATAAAAAAAAATCACTGAAATTTGTCTGTCAAATATATTAGCATGAAACATTTAAAAATGACAGCAGTTGACTAAATTTGTGTTTGCAAAGTGAAAAAGGTAAACAGGTTCATGAGGTTTGAAGACTTTTCTATTGCATTGTATATTCTTATAGTTAAGCTAACTAAATGTGTTAAATCACATACACTAGAGGTGTCCAAAGTATTTGGATTTATTGGATTTATTTTTTGTGGCCCCAGCTGCAGTTACAGAATAACACAACTTTGTCCTGTCTAGCGCAGGTGGCTGATGCAGATGGAGAGATTTTATTTTTAATCAGGGTAAAACAATTACCAACATAATTTCTTACAATGGAAAATGTTGTGTATGATACACATTTGAGTTTAAGTAATCATGTTTTTGTAAGTAGACCATCATCTATCCAGAGATTTTTACCACAAGGGTGACTTTGACTTTATCTCTTTTTTTTTTTTTACTTTTGACCTGACAATTTTTGGTCCATATATCAAAAAGTCTGGATACCCTCTGTCCATACCATTCAGTGGATTCTTTTTGCACACATTTACTATCAAATTCACAGTTTGATGCATGATTGCAAATTTCTCTGTAGCAACAATCCAGTTTTTCTCTCGCAATCAAACTCAAACTGATCCTTTTTTGTTTATCTTTTCTCCCATTTCTGTGCATCTTCTTCAAACCACAGTTTCCATTACCGAGTATAAATATTGCAACAAGCCCTGCAAGTCTACAGTGGTGTTACGAGATTTCCACAATATACCCCTAAGATGCAATTGGATTCTAATCAGGGAGACCCAGTGGAACACTGCGTCTTCCACAACAAGGTCTCTTCTCGTCCCATCACTGTTGTGCTCCTACCCTCTTTGCCCCAGATGTGATCCCCCACCCCCACAAACCCCAAACTATAGCTTCAGACGACCGCAAGCTACTAATCGAGTGACATGGAACAGCAGTGAGCCTCATTATGCGACAGAGCTTAATTAGAGTGCTGCTCAGTCTCTCTCAAACCGCAGTCAGTCACTATTTCCAGATTCTACTTGGCCCGGGACCTGGAGAGATCCAGAGCACGGCCACGGCTTCCAAACACCGACCTGTGGCCCAACACACGGCCTTACTTGAGGTATTTCAGCGTATATGGAGGTATATTTAGGCAAGCCCCATGTGTTGGATGCAAAGCGTATTGCATGCGGCTTTGGCTGCAGCGTTGTGTTTATACGATACGGTTCAAGAGTAACCGTTACTGCGGTTTTCTTGATAAAAATAAATATTTGGAGATGGCAAATTTGGCTCAAACTGTGCTGCACTTGTGAGGATCACCAACCATTTATGGTTCGTGTATAAATATCCTTGAGGACCCCTGATAGGTTAATCTGTCATGTGGGGAGAGACTCCGTCTGCTGCAGAGTGACCTCGTGTCCGTAATGTATCGCAGTCTGTCGTTATTCCTGGTGTCAGTGATTTGTTTTGGACCTTACGCTGTATAATTTCAGTGTCTGGTTCAAATCTCCATTTTTGTGGATGCATTTCAGAGTGTGTGGGGGGACAAAGCCGTAGAAAACAATTGCTATAATGTCCACAAAGAGGCTGGAAAAACAGCGTCTGGGGCTTTTCTGCCTTGAGTCAAGTTTCTCCTGTGGCGCTCGGCAACAAGCGGTGCTTATTTTCTGTTTTTTCATGTTCCTGCTGGTCCATGCATGTCCACTGGAGAAACAAACTGTGGAATGGATCCTGTGCCATCAATCATCTCTTTCTAAGCACGGAGCGTTCTGAAAGGAGATCATCCCACAGGCGGATTATCGGAGATAAAAAAAATAATATTTCAAGCGCAAAAAATATGGTCCAAAGAAAACATCTTTATTGATTTTACTCTATTTTAGCAGTAACAAGTTCAGACGTATTCTAATTAGAAATCTGCATATCCTCTCTTATGGACATAAGGATCAAAACAAGGAAGTCAAAGAAAGAACAGAGACTTGACTCTTTTCAACTTATTTTTGAATTTCCTCTTGAACAAAATATGTTCTTAGTTCTTTATCTGGAATAATAAAAGACTTGGAGCGGCTGCTGCAGTAGACAGTATCTATACGATGTATTTGATTGGATGGATGGATGGATGGATGGATGGATGGATGGATGGATGGATGGATGGATGGATGGATGGATGGATTTTTATTTTTTTTACAAAAACAAAAATAAAAAAACTTCAATATCAAAGTGAAAACTTATTTCTACAAAATAAAAAAACATTAGCATAATAAGTGATTGCATAAATATTCTCCTCTTCAAGTCAGAATAGACTTTCAGTGACAATCACATCAGAGACTGTGCTAATAAGTTTCAATCAGGTTTGACCATCAGATCAATGTCTAGGCTTTGACTGGGCCATTCCAGAACATCAGTCTTGTCATCTTCAAACAATTTCTATACAGCTTCAAATGGATGTTTCAGATCGATGCCTTGCAGGAAAATAACTGTTCTCAGAAGCCATAGATCTTATGCAGATGAAAACAAATTGTCCTCTAGGACATGACACATTTAAGAACAGAAGAAATCTGTTCTGTTCTTTTATTATTTTTTTAACCACATGAATACATCAATAATTAAATAAAATATAAGAAAATAAAAAAGACATTTTTAATGTTCTGCCATAAGAGTAAACAAACTAAAAACATGGGACAGTTTTTCTTCGCCATCAGATGTTATAAAACCAAAGTCACATGTTCAAGTCCGTTCCCTTTGACCCCTCTCAGCTTTACATTTGTTTTCTCTGTCAGCTGCCTCACTCGCAGCCACAAACAAAAACGAATGGCAGGCGTTGCTTACTGCATATTTCCATCTGGTCTCTGAGAAACGGTCACCTGCCAGGCTTCCCTGATTCCGCCGGATGTATCCACTTGGCAGCACAGCACTACTAATTATACTGATCCCAGTCTGGGCCTTGAAATTCCCGTCTTGCTTGACAGATTATTTTTGGGACAAGCCCAAACTTTTCTTCTCTCTTGATGTCTACGGCCCATCTGTTGTTCTTTTACTGAGTTTCTGCAGCTTTTACGGCGAAATAATCGTACTTTCGCTCCGCATTTAGAGAACTGCATATGATCTCAAGACAAATATAGAAATTTTAGATGCCCCAGTTCTTCAGTGTGTGTATTTGCTACAAATGTGGCTTCTTAGCGTTTTTAATGAGGATTTCGAAATTGGCCTGATCTCCCTTTTTTTTTTTTTTTTTTTCATACTTTACCCCACAAAATTAAAAAAACCAGCAATAGCAACTCCGTCTTGCCTCCCTCCACTCCCGTCTCCCCAGTCTGCTTTCTGTCAGTCTCCCTAAGGTTGGTGTGTTGTGGTTTGGACGCTAACATTTGCAGACAGAAAATCAAACTCCACCACATCACTGCAACTTGTGGCCAGTGACCTGTGGCTGCCTAACCAGACCGTAGACTGGCTCACACTTTGTGTAAACAGACAAATCCTAACATGCACCAGCAAAGAGGTGAATGTAAACATTTTTTTTTTTTTTTTTTTCCCCCACCACATTACCTGTGCTGAGGAAAGGAAATCGCATGACAGTAGAGTCAGGTGTTCCGTTTTTCATATATTTGTTTTTATTTTGATGTTTAATAGATGGGTTACATTTTGGGTGAGTTTTACAGTTCTGTTTTGGGCTCTTCTCCTGCTTGCTTCACGTTCTGAAAATAAAAAATAAAAAAAGGATTTAGTGAGTGACATACAGTTACACGTA